GTAAAACAGCCTGTGAAGTGTAAACAGCCAATGCTGATGACGACAGATTTCTGTCCTAAGTGCAACGACTCCTCTGCTTGTACCAACCCTGAGGGAAACGCACGGAAGCAGAGAGGTGCTCTGGACATTCAGGAGGAGAAAGGCTGCGGGCCCGGCCCAGCTCTGCGGCACCTTCCGTGCAGAGGCCGGTGGGATGTGTCGGCRGGCACGGAACGGGAATCCAGGGAGCTCCGCTCTGCCCAGTCTGCTCCAGGGCCCTACGGAAGAACATGGCMGGGAGCGGCCGCGCGGGAACTCGCTGCTCTCTCTCTTCCAAGGCAAGAGCGGCAGAGGAGCGAATAAATCCCAACTTAAACACATGCCAAGAGGGGATCCTGCCAACAGGCCTGGGGTGCGCTCCCTGCCGCAGGGTGTCCTACATGATAAAAGCCGGTGGGTGCTCACAGAGGCTGGAGACACTAATGGAAGCGCARCCCACAGAGGGCTCCTAAACTGTAAAAACCACATCCAAGCCGGCAGGCGCCCCGCTCAGGAGCTGGGAGAGCAGTAAGGAGAAGCTGTATTTGCGTGTCCAGTTGGGGCTCCTCCGTCGGCCGCCGCTCTCCCGCGGACGCGTGCGAGTTTCGAGGCTGCTGGCGGCCTCGCGCTGCGCCCTCCTCGGCGCCCCTAAGCAAGGCGCCCTGAGAGGGAACCGCAGCATCACGGGCTCAGGAGTGAATTACTGAGTACGGTTATTAGCAAGGGTCACGGCCAAACACAGGAGTGCAGCGCGGCTCTCGCACTGGCCCCTGGAGCTAAGCAGGGGGGCAATTTCCTTCCCTTTCCCCTTTCCCCTTTTCCCTTTTCCCTTCCCTTCCCTTTCCTTTCCTTTCCTTTCCATGGATTAAACTCCATGTGGGAATGTGCACGTGTTTCCCCTCGGGGTGACAGGTGCCATTCCTCTGGCATGCACGGCGCAGCAAAACCCACCCACCCCAGTTTAACCAATCTTACTTTTACACTGTAGAAAATAACAATGATAACAACAACAACAGCACGAATAATTACAACAACAAATGCCACACAACCTCAGCAAAAGGCCCCTGCGGACGGCGCGGCCTGTGTCCGGGTCCCGCGCGGAGGTGCCGCCCCGGGCCGGGCCGGAACGGGCCGCG